AATTACATACAGAAGCCTTTATAATAACAAAAGAGAATCTCAGTAATTCACACCATTTCTGGATTTACCCTTTTATTCTGGTTTCAGAGGATATGGAATGCTTTGTGAATAATGTCTTAACCATATGGCCCATTGTAGGGTTATGGTGCCAACATGTCTCTGGTGCCATCCCATGTTTATGTGTCAAGTTATAAATTAGTGGTTTGACACAAATTTGGGGTCCGCCAGGCATCCATGGTGCAGTCCCTCACTTGGCATATTGCTATTGTTGAAGTTACTCTTCCACATTAATAGAATCAATATTAAAGTTTAGAGGGCATGTGTTGGCTGAGCATGTCTACTAATGTGTTCAGCCAATGAAAGGCATCATTAATAGAGGCAGAATTAGCTACATGGAAAGAAGGGACCATAATGAAGACAACTTTTGGTTTGTGACCAATCTCTCAAAAAGAGTTTGCCATAAAATTGATAGAAGATGGCAGGGGCAGACAATAGTATGCATTGGTTATATTTTACAGGAGAATGTAGCAAATCTTATTTTTTTTTTCCTGCAATTTAGTGTTCTACATATTATTATTGTGATTGCATATTAGCACAGTTAATATAGTATTTTTTTTCTTATCATATTTTTTACTTGATGCAGCCATGATCCTTCTATAAAGGGTTAATATAAATACATTAATGACAACAAGTGGAGTAAAATGTGTTCCAATTTTGAGGAACATTTTAAAACCAAAGCAATAAATTATATATCTGGGTTGTATAAAAGATTACATTTGATGCATTTGAATCTTTTTCCGCTTTTATTTCCATGATTCAATGTTAAATGTTATGACTTAAATGAGAATAAATGGGTGAAATACATTTTAGATCTTATCTCAGTTCATAAAACATGTACTTGGTATTATGTACCTATTTTAAAGTGGCACTTTAATATTGTCACCTTCCCCTCTGAAAAATGGCGGCACCCACAAAGGACAGGTTCAGGTAAGTAGAACTCACCTTTGCCTGCCTCCCAGCCACCAGATCCCCAGCAGTGATGTCACCCTCGGGTTCATTGCAAATTCTGCAAAGACCCAGATAGTGACAGTGCTACATTAAGCACTGAAATATATGTACGTTTATTCTCTGTTCATTAATATTTGAATAGTGTAATTTTACAAGGTCTTTATTTCCTAATTTCCTTACTTGAAGCATAGAAACCTCTGTTAGTAACTTGATATACAAGATCTTCTTTATAGCAAACATAAAATATTATACATGTATATTCATATCGGTGTGAAATTGAATAAACATCCTAATACATATATAAAAGCATTATCATTTAAAAAATCTGGTAATACAATCTTATTGATCAAATATCAGGCAACAATCAGGATATTTATACTGGATTTAAATGTAATATTTGTCCCTCCAGGCTCCATCCAGTCTGCAGATGTTACCTACACCATCAGCTTTAGATAGATAAGGTAGACCAATGGGTTAACTCATGACACTAGAGTACTGAAATTATGTTTTAACTCTGTAAGCAGTTGCACTCATTTTTTAAGAAACCTTGAGGCTCAGCCCTGCTAAGTGTTATATAACTCCATAGTTAAATGGTTACCACAACCACCATGGCCACATTTGCTTTTAGAATTGGTCATGGTGGTAAAAATCTATTTGCGCAGTGTTTTTGCTTAAAGCTGATGCAAACACAGAAATATCTGCACTTTTGTGTCATAGGCAATTACAGACCTGGCACATGTGGCTTAGGTAGCCCGTCTAATGTCAATTCTACACAAAAATGTGTCTGTCATCCGCATGAAAAGCACACTGTAACAAAAGTGATCAGCTTCTCCCTGGCAAAAGGGCTGCCAGAAAGGTAAGCTAAGCTCTCCCCTTCCTTCCTTAATCCATCCTCTCCTTCCCTATATAATCCCCACCATCCACTGCCCACCCTTGTCTTAGAGTGCGTGCTGACGACAGAGGAGGAGTGGAAGGCAACACTGGGAACTTCCTTGGCGCTGGATTCCAGGTAAGTTGAACTCTTCTTTTAACAGGTTTTAAGCCGAAAACAGTATTTGATATACTTGGTGGGGCCTTATGAGTTAAAAAAGCTAAAGTGAAAAAAGAATTACAGTAACCCCTTATACATTAATAAAATGCACCAACATCTAATTATCTAGCCCCATATAATACCAAGAAAAAATACTATAATATTTTATCACAGGATTTTTGTACAGGTTATGCTTTAATTGTATTGCATAAATGTTCTAATTAAAATATGATCCCATAAACGATCATATCCCTGCCTTTGAGAGAACTAAACGAGCTGAGGGGGTAAGGAGAGACTCGAAAGCAGGAGACTGAATAATTAGAATCACAAGTAGTAAAGAGACAACCCTAGGGGGTGCCAGCAGACAATTGCCCTAGGAATGTCTCTGAGACAGACAGACAAACAGACAGACCGACAAACAGACAGACATATAGTGTGCAGCAATACATTGTTATTATGTCTTAACTGGATATGAGTTGGAAGAAAAATTGCAAAGTTTGAATCTAATTGCAAGGGCTACTGATCAACCGGTCTGTATCAAAGCTAATTCCCTGGAGATGTTATTATCCTTAAAAGTATTATTAGTGCTATTTATAAAACACCAGCATATTCTCATACAATGAGTAGATGAAACATGCGAGTAATTGTAAGACAGGTTTGATACAATCTCTGCATTTTCGTTTGCTGGGACATCAAGAATCATTACCAGTACAGCTCTTTACTTGCTGAGAAGGAAGGTTAGCCAGAAGCTGCATAAGTAGAGGTGATTGAGCCCAGAGACATGAAGATGCCTTGCATACATTTGCTGTATTTACATCTAGTAAGCCATGCGTGATCAGCTACTAGAAGAATAATGAATTGTCAGTGTATGTCAATGTATGTGTAAGAAGGAGAGCTGGAAAAACCAGTGCTCAGCCAGCTTTCTCTGCCTCAAGCCAGGTAAGTTGTCAACAAAAGTGAAGACATTGTAGGCAAAATGCGGATTTTGTATCATCACATAACTGCTAGCAAAACATAAGAGAATAATGAAAATTTCATTTCTTCTGACATTGGTTCTGTTTTCATAGACATTACCATATTTATTGTCTAGAAAATTGCTAGATGACACTGTAGGGAATCATACCTGTTAATGGACCATCATATAAATCAAAACACGTAGTCAATTACATAAGTTTTCAGTTTTTAGAACATTTTCTATTAGATGTAAATTAATCAAAAGTTTACAACAAAACCTTTTTTTTTTCATTTAAAAAATGACCTAATCTACCGCTGTTTTGTAGACACTGTTATAATTAAATGCATTAATAAATACATATATACATACATGTATTTATTATACCCATATACAGATATTATTTTAACATTTTGGTGGCTTATTTAGGAAGTTACAGGAAGCGAGAGTTACAGGAAGACAGACTTAAACCTCCAGACCAGAACTGGTGCCATGCTGATGAGACCCACAAGGTCAAAACTAGAGTCCATGGCTGTTTCTGTTAACTTATCCTTTTGGATCATGGCCCATGCTTTAGTTTTACAAATGCAGTGTTTAAAAAATGTCCATTGATGTGCAGAAGTACAGGATGAAGTCTGAAGCACGTTGCCTGTCTGAGCTCATTTGCATGTTGAGTTGGTAACGCTGGGATAGTTGTAGAAACATGACTTCTCGGGTTTGTTTGGCCTAAAAAGTCCAGATTTAGATATGCAGATGATGCAAAATATATATTTTTTTAATTTACACTGTGGGAAGTTGGACTCACCACTACCTACCCCTACCTTTTTATTTAAACTAACTAAGATAGCAGATACTGCATATTCTCACATTTATTTTTACCCCTCCAATAGTTTAGTAAAGGAAAAATAAAATTGTGCAAATATATATAATGTACAGTTTCTTATTATTTTTACTTTATACCACATTTAAATATTAGTTATGTATTTCACAGATATCACAGATATCATCTGCTATAGTGAGTATACTCCTTTTAGCACTAACACATTATTTATTTAGTTTTAACACTGTTTTTAATTGCTTTCATCACTCATTTTTGTATACTCACTATGCTCTTATCAGGATTTAATTTAACACTTGTCATTTTCAACACTAGTACTATTTAATTTGTCCCCCACATTTTTAGCGTAGGACCCACCAATATTGGGGTACTTTGAAAGTAGTGGTGGGCTTAACAACATATGGCCATATGGTGGAACTAAATCCCCATATTTATTCTCAGATAGGCATTTTAGTAGCCTTCTTTGTATTATATATTATTTTGTAGTATGAGTGCGCTGCAACTATTTATTGTTTTATGTATGAAGTTTGGTCACTGCGGCAGCACCTTTCATACAAAATGCAGGTCTCGGGAGTGCCCCCTATCCTTTTTCTGTACCATTTACTACCGTCTGCTGTTTGCCCAAGATCCTTGAGATACTTGTGACTTCCTTGAATCCAACTCTCTGATTGACCTGAACTAAAGAATAGAGAGAAGAAGCAAAAGGGTGAACCATTAAGTAGGGGAACTCTTCTGAAAGACGAGTAACCCAGATAAAATGTAACTTTTAATTGAGTGTAAAAAATTTGAATGTAATAAATAATAAGAATGAGCAGAGTCAATATAGCTTCTGCTTAAATAGGAGTAAATAAAGCTCCTAATTCACATAAGGAAAAAAAAATAATAATAAAGAAATGTAACCCTATTACTTGAATAGCATAAAGAAATAACATAAATAAATAATAAGAATTCAATAAAATGACTCCGTGAGTCAGTGGTAGTAAGAAGCAAAAGGAAATACTGCAAAAAGTAGATACAAAATAACAGCAAATGTAACTGCTAGCAAAAGATACAAATGTTGCTAGTCTAATGAATAGAGAGGAGGGAAAAAGATAAATGCGGTTTAAAATACTAGCACTTCATTGATCTTGGGGGTCACCCCCCTCCACCTCAGAGTAACCTGACACCTTCTCCCTGATAGTTTTTTTTTCTAATTCTATATTTTACCTCTGATTGACCTGGTACAGTCTGTCACTCTGTTGAAACTGCTCTGACCAAAGTATCCAAAGACTTAATTGCTGCAAAATCTAGTGGTCACTACTCTAATTCTTTCTGCTGCTATCCACACTATTGATCATCAATAACGTGTTCTCATCCTCCGTAATCTCGATCTATGAGACACTGCTTACTCCTGGTTCTCCTCCTACCTCTCCCAGCAATTGTTTGTGTGTTTCTTTCACTTATACGCAACCTTTCTCTGTTGGTGCTTCCCAAGGTTCTGTCTTTGATCCCTTACTGTTCTCGATCTATACTGCCTTCCTTGGTAAACTCATCAGCTCTTTTGGCTTCCAATATAATTTCTTTGCAAATGACACGCAAATCTATCTGTCCTCTCTCGATCTCTCGCCATACCTCTTGACTCATGTTTCTGACTGCCTTTCTGCTATTTACAACTAGATGGCTACACACTCTATTAAACTTATCCTGTCCAAAATAGAACTTCTTTCCTCCCTCAAGTGCTGCTTCACTAGTGTCTGTTTGTCTCAAAGTCAATGACATTACCATCAGCGCTTCCATTGCTAGCTCGCTGCCTTGGTGTTCTCTTTGACTCCAACCTCTCTTTCACCACTTAGCCCAGTTGATCTCCAAATCCTACTGCTGTCATCTCAAAAACATAGAGCGCATCCACCCCTATTTAAAACTGGTCCATGCTGCTATCCTCTCTTGCCTTGACTACTGCAATCCCCTTCTCAGTGGTCTTACACTTGCCCCATTATAATGAATGATTTGGTTAGGCTCACCTTCTTGTCCAGCTCTACCTCCCACGCCTACTCCCTATTGTCAGTACCTACATTGGCTTTCAATAAGGTATAGTGCTCAATTAAAATTCTGGCCAAGGCTATCCTTTCCCTCCGTGATTATATCATATAGCGCATAGAACAGTGATGATAGCCCAGTGTTATAGCTTGTATAAAAGTCTCACCTAAACACTAGTCGAGACTTCATGAAAGGTGAAGAAGAATTGGTTTCATTGTCACTCTGTCATCTATTTATACCTGGGGCCTCAACAAGAGGTCTCCAGGGAGAACAAAAGAATTGCGACATACCCGGCACCTTGGTGTCTGTACTTAGATGGATAATTTAATTAGCGGCCAGACACCCTGGCACCGGATAAAAAAACAGCAAAAATACAGAGTTCCCGTTGCCGCATCCCCAAACAAATGGTATTCCCGGAAAACTCTCTTCTGAGCCCCCATATTTTTTTCAAATAGCACTCAGATCAGTGGTGGCTACCCCAATTTAGGTAGAAGTAAAGTTTTTAGTGCACTGCGGTTTTCCTCTTGATCCGTTGCAGAGTTCCAGACTGCTGGGTGGAGGTTTCCGGCCACAGAAAACCAAGTGCTTTTTGTGGATACATGGAGCTCACTCAAGTCCATAGTGTCATCACTTCCTCTATCTCCCCTCCAAGAAGTGCCCTGCTACCAGGTCCTGTGACCAAGAACGCTTGTGATAAAGTTTTAGAACAAGAGTTCCATGGCACTCAGCGGTTGCTCCCAGTCATGTGTGCCGTGCCTTCTGTAGCCTTCCTGCGGGTTCCTGATACTCCTAAATACTGTTAGGAAGGAATCTGGATGGGGAGGCACAAGTTGGAAGGGAAAAATGTGTGGATAATAGCTCTTGAAGGAGAGGATGGCTGCAGAGCCATATACTAGTCCTGGATGACCAGATGGTCTATCACACTGGTACTTGCTTGCAAATCTCAACATAATGTTGTTCCTAAGTGAAATAATAAAAAGATGGTGAGAGCACTCAATAAATATAAAATTTACCAATGGACACACTCCTACAAAAGTAAGAATAAAGACAATAGGGTAATATAGTTAAAACATATATTAAAAACACATATTATTGGTCCAACTCACATGGTTCTGAGTCACTTGAAAAGATGACTCAGACTAGAAGTGTAAAGCGGAGATAGACAGCTGGTGTAGTGGATTCCTGTTGTAGCCAGGGTAGCTCCTGTTCGTGCCAGTAATGATTACCTCCATGTAGCGGTACTTACCTTACCCGGGGGCCAGCCAAGGTCCTCTCTTCCCGCCGCGCGCGGCTCTCGAATGAAAGCGGGCACGGACCGCGAGATGCGGTCACGTGACCCGTCTAGCCCTAAGAGCGTGCAGCGCGTCTCGGGCAAGCTCTTAAATTGGCAGTGGGAGCCAAAAAATACAATGGTCTCCCATTGGCCCTTGTCATCCCACATTCCCCAGACATTCACATTTTGGGGGCGTGGATATGACAGGGGCCAATCAAAGTAAAGTTTAGGGTATTTATACTTACCTCTCCCTTAACTCCTTGCCCTATCGTGGTTTCTGTTTCACTTCCCTTTAGCGCTTGTTGTGTTTAGTTGTGATTTTCGTGCTCAACCTTGGCTTTGTATCTGACTCCGTTTATCTCTCTATCCCTGTTTTGTCTTGTTTGCCGGCTTACTGACTACTGTGTACCAGACCTTGGCTAGTTTTTGTTTTCGCAGTCTCTCTATTCCCTTGACCTCGGCTCATTCTTGACTCTGTCTATTCTCTGCTATACGGCGAGTCCGGCCATTCTAAGGTCCGGTAAGTCGTATCTGCTCTATCTGTCGATTGTTGGACTAAATCTTGCGTGTAGGGGTAAACTACCATGACACTCCAGAAACCCAGGATGCAGGATCAAGGTAAAAAAAAAAGTATTTATTCAACATAAAGATTTTTTACCTAGATCCTGCATCCTGGGTTTTTGCCCAATCGAAAATACCAATTAGATTAGCTTGGCATGAGCTCTCTGAATTAAACCCACGTTGTCTCTGATCTTGAAATCCATGTGATTTTGGATGTTCAACAATCCTATCTTTTAGCATGGTTTACATTACTTTCCCCACTACTGAACCACTACTGAAGTCAGGCTTACTGGCCTACATTTCTTGATTGGGTAAATAAATCAGCTTACATTATTGCTAGCACATCACTAAGTTCTTTCAATAACTTTGGGTGTATCCTATCAGGCCCCATCAACTTAATTGTCTTTACTTTAGACAGCTGAAACAGAACCTCTTGTTCAAAAGCTCACATGTTAAGTCTTTTGACTAACGGTAGGTGAAATACAAAATATGCCTTCCTATGAACTCTGACTTTATATATACAAAACATCACTTACCTAGAGGTGACTGATTCTTTGGCTTACTTACACGTTGTAAATCTTGGTTTTGCATTTTCTTGTCATTTCAGTACAGTATGTCACTCCCTGAGAAGCTTTAATAGCCTGCGGTTTCTGAAGTTAAAGATCTAATTGAAGGGTAATTAGATTGCTACATTTCAAAACAAATATTTTATCAGTATACAAAGAGATACAGTTTTTGCACAAGTTCAAAGGAATCACTGGTATAACATAACTCCAGGGTCACATGTTAAGACCTCAAGGTACATGTGCAATTTGTTTTGCTCCAAATGTACATTCATACGAATTTCCTGCCATTCAAACTTTTGGATGCTTATGAATGTTCAAAGTGCCAAAGTCCTAAAGCTCCAAAGTTCCAAAGTGACGAAGTTCAGTAGTTCGGAAGTGCCGAAGCTCCGAAGCGCTGAAGCGCCGAAGTGCGAAGTGGCAAAACAAGAGAGATGGAGGGAAAATTACGTGAATTATGACAGGAATCTTGACCAATAAGCTAATTCCTTGTAATGCTTGCTTGCCCAATCCAGTTTCACTATTCCCTGTACAATGTAATGAGCAATAGACATGTGCAATTCGTTTTATATATAATATATATATATATTAAATTAATCTCTATGACCAAGATGTTAAATCTACCAAAACATAAACAGACTTTACAATTTTTATTTTATTTACTTTGTTTCAATGCTACCATGAGTTTGATTCTTCTCATCCTATTTAAAGTACAGTCTGTTCAACAAATCTATGTTCATTCTATTCAGCCTCTATTACAACATGTCGTGTTACTGTAATGGCTTCCTCTTACCTTGGAGTTTCTAGCAACTAGAACAAATCTCTTCTCTCTAGTGTTAGTTTTACAAATTTAAAATGAGTTTTAGTCGTAGTCCTTTGGCTAAAATGACATTTTAGTTTTAGTCTTATTTAAGTCATCTGAATTCTTTTTATTTAGTCTAGTCTTAGTTGACAAAATCTCCGGTAGATTTTAGTCAACTAAATCTCCAGTAGATTTTAGTCGACACGACTCAAATCTAATGGGTTTAATTAAAGTTTCTATCTGTCTCTTTTGCCCGTTCCCCAGCCCCTTGTGTTTCTTTGTGTGTCCCCAGCTCCCCATATGTCTCATTCCCCCAGCCCACCATATGTCTCATTTCCCTTCCCTCCCCAATATGTCTTACCTGCCAGTGTTAATTTTGGTGACAGATTTCTATTTAGTTTTAGTCTTAGTTTTTTGACTAAAAAGCCATTTTAGTTTTAGTCGTATTTTAGTCATCTGAATTGTTTTAGTTTTAGTCTAGTTTTAGTCGACTAAATCTCAAAACTTTAGTTGACAAAATTAACACTGCTTCTCTCAGATGGATTATTGGTATCAACTATGGCAGGTCTCCTCAACCTCAAATAACCTCTCATTATACATTTGAATTAGGGAGTGATTTCTTGCTGACCTGGACTTGTTTACTTACCTCGGAACAGAGCCAGAACTAATGTGAAGAGGCCCCTAGTTTAAGAATTTTGGGGGCACTTCCCTCTAGTGCAAGGGTGGCCAAAAAGTAAATTCACATTGGTTGTAAAAATATCACAATGCTATTCAAGTTTGGGATCTACCACTTGCCTATGCTTGCAGGGTTGTATTTGTGAGCAGTGTTTTTGCATTTGAATGTAAGCATGTTTTTATACGGAGTATGGTATGTGCATGGAGGGGTATATTTGTATGTATGATTGCCATTGGAATGCAGCGGTATACTTCTATGTAATGTTTGTATTTTAATGCAGGGGTGTATATGTAGTGTTGGCTTTTAAATGTGGGTGTACATTTGGGTGTACAAAACACAAAAAAAGGTGTAGCGCTATAAACAGAATAAAGAATTATTACAGACCAGAGGGGTATTCCCACCAGGACCAATATTTGTTGTAGATGGAATAAATAAAACATAAAATAAACTCCAATAGCGTAATATTGTAATGCAAAAAAAGTCCTTATATAAAATGTATTTGGAATAACTCACATT